TTGCCGATAGGGTCTTCTCCACTCTTCTAGCCTCTGTTTCAACACAGCTCTGAATTTAAATTCTTGGCATCCTTTCCAACACAGACCTCTCAAAGTTGGTTGAACTCAGATCTGAGAGCAAATTCTTTGGATTTAGAAAACTAGGAAAGAAAGTCTGATGTTTTTTATTTTAGCTTCCACATTGGAGTTATATTCTGTCAACCATAGAGCACCAGATTGTGCATAATCACAGAAAATTCCCCCAAAGTACAATTCATAAAGAGAAAAATCATATTTCCATATCAATTATTATTAATATTTTCCCATCAGAAATTTGCTATCCAATGAAGTAGACTGGGAACTCTTTTAGATCAAATAAGCTTGTCTTAACTTTCTCATCTCTCACTCTATTCATATCATGACTGATCACATTGCTACCCTACTTATTACTCCTTCACAATTTCATATTTGTGGCCAAATGGCTTTTTAGCTTCTCTCTTGCAGGAACACAATATATATTTCCTCCTTTTTGAATTTAGATTTGGACTTGTGACTTTTTTAGTCTACGGAATTGGTCTTTCATAATGTGTGTCAATTTCAGGACTTCATTCAAGAGGCTTTGTGCATTCTCAATAGTGTCTTATACTCATAAGACTGCCAAGAAAAGCAACATACTTGGACCAAACATTGGCCCCTGAGTGCTGGAAGAAAGCCACATGGTTCGGAGACAACCTCAGAAGGTAGTTCCCAATTAGATTGTCCAATCCAAATGAATATGATCTAAATAGTAGCTTTCTATGCTGGGGAGTTTTCGTGGAGTTTGGCTTGCCAAAGAAGCTAGTATACTAGTCTAAAAGACATTTTTTTCATATTATAAGAAAGTCCACAGGAAAAAGGCAATGTTGTAATTTTGCAGTTTCTCATTGAATTGCAAGAAAATATATTGTGTATGCCACTTTTCAGTGTCTTGTTTCTAAAAGCATTTTATCTATATCTGTGTCTAGATATCCTTTTATGTATAAAATTTTAAAGTTTTCCTCTTGATTTGGTATTTTAATCTTATCACACTCCATATTCCTGTCATACACTCAATTGTGAAAGTAACTGCTCAAGGTTATCATTGAGTTCATCAAATGAAAGGAAAAAAAAATTTTACCAAGTTTGGGACTCCAGCATTCATCCAGTATTATGAAGGAAGAGTACTGAATTAAATTATAAATATGTTTTCCTCAAACTTTTATGAATAAGTCTATTCAACTCATGTGGTCATTTGGGATATCACATATACAAAGTTGTTATACAAACTGGATACTCTTTAAAAGAAAATCCAAAAGGAAACTTTTAAACCATTGCAACTTCCTTTTTCTTTACAAAGTCATATGTGAATTATACTAATATGAACCCAGGTACACAGTAATTGTCAACAAATATTTATTTCATTAGACAAATATTAGTAATGAAAAAATAGAAATGTCAAAGATAAAATGAGTGATTTCACTTTTATCCATTCAGTATATTGTAGGAGATAATGTGTTTTAAACTGCACATGATATATAATTGGAACTAGAATAGTTTTGTAATTAAGATGGCATGTGCCTTCCATTATAATCTCCACCCACTAGAGATATGACAGATGGATAATTTGAAGCTTTTAGCTGCAGAAAGAGAATGAGCTTATTGCTTCATCTGTCAGGTAAGCCACTTTGCAGTCATCTTCAACTTCATTAAAGCTTTCCCATCTAAGAAGAAATACATTTCAATATGGAAAACAGGTTTTGTGGGGATATTTATGTTTCGCCTCTCTCATTGCTTCATCTGTCCTATGTCAAATTACTACCCAGAACTCTTCCACAAAGTCAATGGTGAATTTGGCAGTATGCCTGCAGCTCTCAGAAACAAAATAATTAGACTGTTAAATTCACTCAGATCTTAATATCTAAACAGTTTCCTTCCTTATAGGCTGACCCTAAACAAAGTATAAATTACATAAATGCTTTTTACCTTTGCTTTCCTTTAACTAACAGGCAATAATCTTTCACCCCTCTATCATGGTTGCTTATAGGACTAGCTCACTAAGCTCTCCCTGCATGTATGATAGCATGGCATTGTTTTTCAAAGAATATCAATTCTATTTAATTTAAATATAAGCATGTATAACTGTAAATAACTACATCTTAATTTTAACACTGTAAAGTACTAGAAAAAAATGGATATTATAAGTACTTCTCAAAGTTTGTGCTGCAGCATACAGATGAAAGTAATAAGTGGCAGAACATTCTTTACTAAGAAATAGAGAAGAAAGCTCCTGCAGTTCTCATATATCCACACAAGAATTTACTCAGTTAGGGAATGAGTCACCTGAAGAGCTCCAAGATTGTTTGTTTATCTATTTAAAGAAAATGTAATTATGGACTATATTTACAGTCATTAGTCATGATTTAAAAAATCTAGTCAGGTGAGGAAATCTTAACAAGATCAGTTTCATGTATATATAAATATGACAAAGCTTTAGTTCAAAATCAAATAATGATGGGCTTTATGAAAAGTTTTCAGATAATTTGTTATGCATAGCATCAAGTTTAAATTTATCATATGATATTAAAGTGATCCAAAGTTTACTTTGTAATTCATGATTATAAGATAAGGTGTCAAAGAATTCTTATACGTTTTTCAGAAAACATACAATATTTTTGCAAAAGGTAATGAGAAAAGTACAAAGGCACTCAATAAGCTAAATACTGTCACATAAACATTCAAATCCTGACCATCAAAAATGCTAACACTATTTTCCACACTGTATAAATCAAGAGCTTTCTATGTATATTTGTTAGCTATCCAGAATATTTAAACCGAATGGCTTGCAAGTAATACTTTGTGGGTCTACATGTGCACTGGTGTGTGTCTGTGTGTGTACACGTGATTTCACCCAATAAACTATACATTTCTTGTATTCCCAGCTTAGTAAATGTAATATTCATTTGTCTTCTTTCTTTCATTTAAAGCAATACATTTTCATTTAATTAAATTTTCAAACGAAGTCTAATTTCACATTAGACTTGCCAGGTATGCTAATTAAATAAGTGGATTTGCTGGCATTAAAGTTAATATTTATTGCAGAGTTCCCTTTTGTCAAAAAATCTCTGGATTTTAAGACATTCATTTGTATACTTGAATTCAAAATTATTAATTAAAATAGAAGTAAGATAATGTTGGTTCTAGCTTGTATATTATAAATAAGATATAACATGAGTTTACTGTATTTAAGCGCCATTTATAGGATCTTCAATATAAAAAGTGATCTAGGCAGAGTTGGGGATTTGGCTCAGTTGTTCTGCTGCCTGCCTTCAGCAAGGACCCAAGTTTGATCCCTCATATGAGAGAGAGAGAGAGAGAGAGAGAGAGGGAGAGAGAGAGAGAGAGAGAGAGAGAGAGAGAGAGAGAGAGAGAGAAACCTAGGAAAAAGCAACGTTTTTGCATTTTATAAAAATTACTACAAACCCATATTTTCAGTTTTCAGACTCTACATTAATCATTACAAGTATATTTAAATCTCAAAAATAATTTATATTTTTATTGTGCTCACATATATAAACTCTTTCGAATTAATTTATTATAATTTAACTCCTACAAACCAAACATTTTAAAAGAGAGCAAACACTTGACCTAATTCTGAATAAAAAGATCTACAAATGAAAAGTGTAACAAATTCAGCAATAAAGCTAAGGAAGTTGCTACTTTTTTTGTTAGAAAGCATAGATTAAACCAGGAACTTGATTTCATTTTTCTAAATTTAATTTAGCAAAGCTCTATTTGGCTAATAACTGTTGAATATTAAAAGTAAGGCTCAATTTTATGACACTAGCTAAAAGATACACACTTTGGTTGAGCATTCAAGAATTATTTTATCTAATTTCATATTTTTTCTTAGCAAACACCACAGAATTAAGTAAAAGTTAAAGTATTTACAGAATCAAATATATTATAAATGCATGTGGATATTTTTTAATTATTCTGTAATCCTTTATAGCAAAAGTAAAATTTAAAACAAGTATATTATGTAGTGAACTAGGAAAGGCTCCACTAAATTCCATAAACATCAGAAGATAATTTGATGCAGTGCAGATTAGAATATTGGAAAAAGATATAGAATAATCTCATACCAGAGGTTTATGTTCACAGTGAAATGTGCTAAGAAATTAATGGAGATAAATTCAGAGGGCCGAACTCACTCATTATTTTAGGAGGAAGTTCATTCAGAATGCAAAAAGAAAGTGCAGGAAAATTGTATCCACTATACCTATAAATTATACTAACTTTTAGAAGTAGCAGTAGTTGATGTAGAACTTTTTAAAAAGAAAGCATATACCTGTGTACAATAAGTATTTACATATAAACAGAAATATATGTTAAAAGTTTATATTACATATTCAAAAACAAATGTAAAGTAACAGTATACATAATATATACCTAATTGTGTATATATATGTATTACTTATACAAAATTTGTTTTTTCTAACTTGGCAGCTTTAACAGAAAACAGACATCTGTGGAATATTTATAAGTACTTAGAAATTAAGTGTTGTAGTACACACTGTGTAGTAAATTTTATTTTTTTATTTATTTTTGGATATTTTGAGACAGGATCTCACTACATAGTTGAGACTGACCTGGAATTCACTATGTAGCCCAGACTGGTCTCAAACTCACAGCGATCCTCCTGCCTCAGCCTCCCAAGTGCTGGGATTACAGGCATACACCACCATGCCCAGCTCACACTGTGTAGTAAAATTTAGCCTAGATATCACTATAACTAAAAACAATGAAATAAATTCATTGGAAAAAGTGTATGATTTTGAATGTAAGGCCATTTCCCAATAGAAAAGACGATGTCTTTGCAATGTAGTGCACTATGAATGAAGCAAAAATTCACGGAACATTTTATAGAGGAAGTTTGTAAAAATATATTTAGTTAAAATCAGACAGCCATACTTTTTACCTTTCCCTTAAAAAAGAGTAGATTAGGGCCGGGGTTTTAGCTTAGTAGTGGTCCTTCCTGCCCACTCAAGGACGAGGCCCTTCAATCCCTGGTAACAAAAAAAAGAAAAAAAGAAAAGAAGCAGATTAACTGAAAGGGTTTTTTTTAATGAATTTCTAAGGAGACCTCATATTTCCTATGAAAACAAGAACATGAGTTCACCAGCATGGATTTTATTATTGTTTTGTGTTTTGCTTCGCTCTCTGATACATATAGATTTGCCAAGTGAGGTAAACGCCATTGCTTGATAGCCAGAAAAAAATTTTCAAGTAACTACCTTTTCAATAGTTTCATTGCAGAAAAAAAGAAGAAAAATAATGGGACATAGTTTTTAAAATATTAATTCAAACAGAATAAAGAGTGAGATACCTGACAGAATTGTTGAATGCTGTAATAGGAAAATAAATATAGCAACCTATAAAATATAAATTATAAATATTTAAAATGATCTAAATATACCAAGATGAGTCAAAAAATAAATTTAAAAGAAAAATTAAGTCTTTAAGCCATTTATAAGGAAAATTTTTCTACAAATAGTTATGTTGTATTTATAAAAGCAATTCTTGAAGTAGACATAATAGCTTGCTAATGAAAATATTACAAAAACTGTAGTTTGTCTATGTTTGATGAACTTAGATTAAATCTACACCATAGAAAAGACCAGGGAAAGTCTTGTAATATGTAGGAGCATTTTTAAAGTGAGTTCAAGAGAAACCAATAGAAATAATAACAGAGGAATTGTTATTCATGAAAAAATGAAATCACAAGCTGATGTGTATCACCTTTACCATACGTAACATCTTTCTTCAGATTGCTTGTCAGTTTTTAGTGTAATAAAATAGATCATGGCAGAATGTTCTGATCACAGTGAACTGAGTAAATAGAGTCTGAAAACTGGGATAGATTGGTAAAAGTATTAAGTGGAAAAAAAGTAAAAGCATAGGAGTAATCATTCTCTCTCTCTCTCTCTCTCTCTCTCTCTCTCTCTCTCTCTCTCTCACACACACACACACACACACACACACACACACACACAAACTATGTGCAATCTTCTCTTTAACCAATTAATCTGTTACTATAGTTTTTATGTCAGAGCAAGACTCTCATAACAAGCAAGACTATCATGGGGCAGAGTTCAAAGAGCTGAGCTAAAACATTTTCATAGATACTCCTTTGTGAAAAGTGATTAGAATACAATGTCATAGGTGTGATATACCCTGCAGAATTTCAGTTCAGATTCAAAAAATTATAAAAAAATTAGAAATTAGTGCACTAAAACACTAATGTTGAAATAAATCATATTTGTAGCTTGGTATTTGATATTTGTAACAGAAGAACACATAACTCTCATAGGAGAAAGAATGCATAGTAAAAATGCAAAGTACAGATTTTAATATGTGATGACTAATAGACACTAAAAGATAAAAGCTATAAAATGTGTTCCAAAAGAAAGCCAGATAATTTAAAACATAAAGATAAAAAACTACTATGGACAAGAAGACTTAGAAATAATTTGGATTTTACATAGCAAGATTGAAAGTTTTAAAATAGCTAAATTAATTGCATGCAAATGAAGTAAACCTTGAATTACTTTAAGATAAAACTTGAATTTTTCAAAAGTAAATATTTGATGGGTTATAGTTGTACAGTAGCCTTATTTATCCATCCTTTTGGGAAGAGACAAGACACATAATTATGTGTCTGTTTCTTCTTTTTGGTTGAGCTTTATTTCTGTTTCTCTTTAATGTAGGCATTTAAAGTATTTTATTATATTCACAAATCTCCAGCAAAGTTAGTCATTTATGAGATCTAACTGGCTTTCGGGACTCAAGGTTTCTTCACACCTAGTCTCCAATTTAACTGTCCTCCATTCGTAACACAAGTCTAGAATGGGTAAGAAAGACCCTGGGGAATATGAGTATCCTTAATTCTGTTGTAGGATTGGGAAGTGAATCATTTAGCAAAATGTGACCAGAGGAAAGCTTCCTGGATAAAACTTTTGGAAAAAAGAAGCTATTGGGAATGCGAGAGGGTAAAGCCATGGACTGAATATGTCCCCATAATTCATATATTGAAGTTTAATTCCCAACATGGTATTTAGAAGTGGGACCTTTGAAAGTTAATTGAGTCATGAAGATGGAACTTTCATGAATGAATTAAAGTTTGTATTAAAGGTGTAGGGAAGGTGGGATGGGTAGGGGAAGGGTAATAAGGGAAAAGAAAAAAATGTGAGATAATGAAAAGATGGAAATAAAGTGTTTGTAGATGGGGAGGGGAGGGGAGATGAATGGAGGGCAGGGACAAGGGGGAAAAATGAGAATCAAGACTTGTCATGTAGAGGTACAAGATCCCAATAATGAATATAACTGTACTGTATCCCTAAAATGTACCACTAAACTCAATTAAAGCTGAAAAAAAATCATAGAATCTAGTTTTCTGCTTTCTGCCAAGTGAGTGAATATTCAGTAAGAAGAGCCATTTGTAAATCCCAAGTTGAGCACCCAATTTTCCATTTGCTACACCCCCTTAGGACAATTTCCAGATCATTTAGAATATTTATTTTACACTTTGCCAATTAAATTGTCTTTATAAGAACATGATACACTGAATTCCTTATTCACCCATTCTGGATGCCAATTATTGAAATACAGTCATGTGCCACAGAGACTATTCTGTTAATGACTAACTGTATATATGAAAATGATTTCATGACATTATAATAGAGCTGAAAATTTTTAATCATGAAGTCATGTAGGTGCCACAGTGTTGTAACACCATGTGTTACTCTCATGCTTGCAGTACCTTTGTAAATAAACCTATGTTCTGTGAGCCAAAGAAAAGTATAGCAAATGCAATTATTAATACTTAATAATAAACAGTTTCTTGTTCACATTATTTATTGCACTCTACCATTTATCATTGTTTTAGAATGTACATATTATATTTTAAGAGTTTACTGTACAAGACCCCAATGATGAATGCGCCTGTATGGTATATCTAAAATGTACCAGAAAAGAAAAAAGGGAAAAAAAAATAAAATAATGATATAAAGTTAACAACCCAAAAAAGATTTTATTGTAAAACAGTATTACATTGGTATTACACTGGTGGCAGCCTCACATTTACTTCACCTTTTAATGCATCAAACCCCATCAAATGATTAAACTATCCCTTCCAGCTTTGTGTAAGTGCACTCCAAAATGTTTGCATAATGGTCAAACTATGTATTTCTCCTACTATACCCCCTCTATTAAGTGATACATGTTATTTATAATAAAACACCATCATGACTGGAATATTTAAGCATAAATTCTTCAAATAGAATCAACAAACAGAAGAATCAGATTAGAAGGAGTAAAATGTAGGAGATTTATAAATGAAAATGACATTCCAAATCAATTTAAAGTTTATTCAATATTGGCTTTAGTTACCTAATAAAGATAAAATTAACTCTTTTGTTTACCTCATGTACTGAAACACAGTTTTGATTAGAATCCTGTCCTTAGTGATGTAAGTCACTGCCAATACTGGATTAAAAAGAAAAAAACAAAATTAAATTTTTGTAAAAGTCTCCAACACTTTTTCTTCCTTTCTCTTCATCCAGTGGGACACTAATTTTCTTTATGAAAGCAGAGCATTTGATAAAAGAAGCTTGGATTTTAAATATCTGCATGAGCAATCTTCCTACCAAACCACAAGGAGCTGTAATTTAAGTGCCATATAAACTGCTAATGTATTGAGTCCATGGGGTTTGAGAATTATTTGATAAAACTTTAGCAAATACTGGTTAATACACAGTTATGAGTAGTTTTGTCACATTAAGCAAAAGCATTTTAATAGGACTTCTTCCAATATGTGAAGAAAAGATAAATTCTATGTGGGATACCAAAAATAAAGGAGGAGTTAATTTGCATGTATATCGTAGGGACCAATAACTAGGGAAAAGAGATTACATTTAAAAAAAATTGTCTAGCCTTTGCAGGCATCGTGATCATCATATTATGTATTCATTCAGGAAATATTTGTCATGGGCTAACTCTGTGTCAGGTATAGTTCTAACTTTGGGAAATAAAGCCAGAGATAGGGGAGGGGAAGACTTTAGAGTAAAAACAGATGAAGAAAAACAAAAAGCATCACAAAATCTATTACATTATACGTAATATATATTATACCAAAGAATATTTGTGAAAAACTAAAATAAGACAATGTGAAAGAGAGTAATAGATAGGTAGGACACAGAAAGATATTAGATTTGATAAAATAAATGTGAGTAATCTATGATAAACTAACATGGCATAGAGGCCTGAAGGAAATAAGGGATGGAGCTGTATGATGACTTAGGAGAAGCACACTCTCAATAGCCTACAAAACACTGCAGAAAATCAGTGTCCAATCAGAGCTATCCCTGTAATCTCTTAACTTACCACGTGGCATATGAGTATAAATCAGTCAATCAGGTGGATGTGTATACCTAAAAATCTGAACTTGGACAAGTAACATAGAGAAGTATAGTTTATAATTTATTCCAAAGGCAATGGTGCAACCCACTATCTAGTGGCACCAGCTGTATTTCCTGAAACCAAGCCACCTCTGATATGTGGCTTTGACTGTGATGCAGTCTTTCCAGAATGATTTTGCTCCTGATTTTTCCCATGAGATTTTCTGTATTCTTTCTGTAAATTATTTTTGCCTAAGTTACAGAAAGTCATCATTGTTTATGTTTAATAACCTTAATATCTTATATACTTTCTCTTTCTTCTAATAAATGTACTCTTAAAAATCTATAGGAAATGATAACTGATTTTATGAAACATTACTATTATAGTATATGTGTATTACATTCATTATACAAATGCTTAAAGTTAGAGGGAAAACAGTACCAATACAAAAACTATAAGAATAAAAATTAAAGTTATGGAAATGTCATCAGAAAGCTCACTGAAGAAGTGAACCATGAGAAAATTTATATTTAATTAAGTTATATCTACAGGTACAGCAAAGATAAAGTTAAAGAGATGATTATTTTAAATCTTGGCAAGAAGGCCTAATTAGTAAACACTTGCAGATTAACAAATCCTATATCTTTATACAAAAAACATAATTATATCTATTTGATTAAAATTCAAATGAATAATCAATAAATAATAGATGACAGGTAGCTGCACCAAGTGTGAATCTACTATAATAATAATAATAATTGCAATTTAGCATCCCTTTCATTTGGTTCTATAAGAGCTAATGGCAGACAGATTACACATGATTTTAAAGTGTTGTGTATAAATTTGATCCAAAAGAATTGCTTTAAATGCCATTATTTCAAAATCCTATGTTTGAGTCCCAGCACCCTATAATGCCCTATGAAAACAAAAAATGAGAGGATAACTCGAAAGCCTTCTTGGGGGCCTGAATATTTATTAAAAAGTACCCCATCAATATATGTGTAAATACAAAATAGTTTCTCTAGTGTGAGAAACTGAAAGTGTAAATAAGGACTAAAAAGTATAACAGATAATGTGAAATAGGAAGAAAAGGCACAAAGGGGAAGGAATAGTGGGAGGGGGAGAGGAAAAGAAAGATGTAATGGAATTAATATGATAAAAGTAAAAATTTGGAAACAAAGTCTTTGTACATAGGGAGAGGTAGAGGGAGGGTTTGAAAGGAGGGCAGTGGAATGGGGAAAAAATAAAAACCAAGATGGATTATGTAAAGGTACAAATTTGCAAAGATGAGTGCTATTACACTGTATACCTTAAATATACCAGTAAAATTAATTAATTTTAAAAAAGAAAAATAATTTATTAGAGTACAACAATGTGGGTTGAAAGTTGTTTTCTTTGGGGGCTTGAAATACTTTCTTCCAAGTTCTTAATATGTTGTGGAATCTGCTGTGATTTTGATGTATTTTCTTTTATAAGTGATTTGTTTCTTTTTTGTTAACTGCTTTTAAAATTCTATTCTTGCATTGACTTTCTGGAATTTTGAATATTATATGGCTTGTTGTGGATAACTTTGTATCATGCCTAATTGGAATTCTCTATGTGTCAGTTATGTGTATGTCAAATTATTTTTCCATTCTTGGAAAGTTATAGTCTCTTACTTCCATGAACAAGTTATTTTTGTCTTTCTTGTTGTCTTCTGATTTTTCATAAATTTCAACTAGTCATATTATTCTTCTTTTTACCTTTTAGCAGATTTTGGATTTTTTTTTTCATGGTCCCTGCAATTTTTAAGAAGTCTTTCATTTGTTGATGACCAACTATGACTTTGTCTTCTGGATCTGACATTCTATCTTCACATTTGTTGATTCTGCTGTGTACGATTTCAATAGAATTTTAAATCTCCATTTTGAATTGCTTTATGACATCCAGTTTTTTCTATGTTGAGTATTCATGGTTTGCCTAAGATTCTCCATTTTTTTTATTTATATCTACTCAAGATTCACTAAACTTGTCCTTGTTGTGGTCATCATCTCTTTACTTATCTGTGTGATTATTTCTGTTTTATTTTTGTCTAGGGACTTATTCATCTGCTTTGTTACTACTGTTTCTACCATTTCACACATTTAGCTGAAAGACTTCATTTCTTCTATTTGGGTGTCCTCTGAGCTTGCTTTGGGTAAATTAGGTATAAGACTGAGGCAGGGCAATATAAGTTCAGTGTGGGCTCAAGTGTGCCCAGGTTGCTGAATATGAAGGCCAAATGTTAGGTCTATGTGCCAGATGAATGTTCCTATTTGCTTAGGATAAACTGCAGGCTCCCAGATCTATGCAGGGTCCAATATTGAGGACTCCCAACACAGACAGAAGTTGTTTATCTGATCAAAGTTTGACAACAACACCATATGTAGTGGGAGGGTGCAGCTTTCTGGTCACTCACTACTGCTGTGTTCTATCAAAACATTGCTCCCAGGCTGCAATGTCCTCTGCTTGGTGAGGTGATGATGAGGTAAGGGGTTGATGTAACCCAAGCCTATCCTCTGTGGCTTGACTTTGCCATTCCATTTGGACTTACAAGTTATTGGCAGCTTTTTGAAAAGGAAGTTCCCATGTTGGGTGCAGGCAGAGGCCCCATGGGAATTCATATTGGACTGCTTCACCTCTTTCAAACTCTGATGCATATGTGTGAAGTCTACTGTTTCAAATTGATTTTTTCATTAAAGTATGCATACGTCCTCTTCTTCCAATTGCCTATGTTCTTATTTGATGTTCTCTGAGTCTCTCCAGTGTGACTACTCCCTTGTTCAGCCATGTCAGGTATTCTAAATGGTATATTTTAAAAAATTCACAAATATAATCCACAACTTATAATTTAGATATTCACAAACATTATACACTTATAAGCGCCAATTATTTAGTCATCAATTAATAAGATCCTAAAAATAAGGTATATTATTAAAGCCTAACTTTTGTGTGTGTTGTGTGTATGTGTGTGTGTCGGGGATTGAACTCAGGTCCTTGTGCTTGCGAGGAAGGCAGAAGAACCGTTGTGCTAAATCCTGGTCCAAAGTCTAACTTTTTTAAAAATTTAAGAACAGTTGTGAGACTAGAATTGTCCATGCCTGTAATCTCAGCATTCTTGAAGCTAAGGCAGAAGGATGGCAAGTTTGAGTACACTTTGGGCAATTTAGCCACCTGGTGAGATCCTTCCTGTCTGGGGCTAGGAATGTAGCTTGGTATGAATTATCTCGGTTTAATTCCCAGTAAAAAAAGTAAAAATAAAAAACAAGAACAATTATGAATGCCATGGGTCATACATAGTATACATAACTTTATGCAAGGTTTGTCATATTAATAACAAGTGATTTCTCTGATTATATTAAATTAGAATTATTATATCTATGGTGACTATTCTTTGAGAGCTTAATTTTTTATTTTTGATTTTGATTTTGGTTTCATATCACTATGTATTTCAGTCTCGCCCTGATCTTGCTATGTAGTCCAGATTGGATTCACACTTGTGGCAATTCTCCTACCTTAGCTTCTTGAGCACTAGGATTTCAGGCATGTGCCACCTTAAATATTTAAATGATTATTATTTAGGTTGCATGTATATAAATATAAAAGCATACTTTACATATGAAAGTATATACATACTTTCATTTATTTTTAGAATTGCAGCTTCTACTCTTTCCAACTAAACTTTCTGTGCATTCAATAGTGTTCTACCATGTATAAAATCTGAACATAGAGCTGACTATTTAGCTCAATGGTGCCACTGCCTGACTCACAAGTGCAAAGTCCTGAGTTCGATCTCCGATACAAAAAAAAAAAAAAAAAAAAAA